CATTGGCATGGCATTACTACTGTATTAAAATCATTAAATACACACTAAATATTTTCAAAAAAAGACCTAAGAATGTTCTTTTGATGAGATGGCCATTCTATGTTTAGTTATGTTTAAAACTTTCCAAACATGATTCTTAATAAAAAGAATACTCTGGAACTAAGCTAAACTAAGTGTGTAGTTTTCAATACAAGTTGTTTTCAAGAAATCACTTAGAATGTTTTAACTTTCTTTTTTTTATTTCATCCATTTTTTTTCCCAAAAAGAAGAAAAATTATACTAACAAGGATGTGAACAATAAAATTCTCAGACATTGAAGCAGCTGATTCACAGGAAACTCCTCGTACAGTATAATGAGCGTCAATTATGACTAAAGTAGGCTTATTACTGTCGTTTCTGACTCATAATTCATAAAGGTAAAAAAAAAAACCTTACAAGTAAATCAGTTATAGTTTTCTCATTACTTTTATTTTTTACACAAGACAATACACATGTACTTATAAAGTTCATTAACAATATTATCTTACTAGGAATAGTACGACCTGTCCGTCTAACGGCGGACCAGCCCCCGTTTTACAAATTACACAACTGTTCATTTAATTTCGCTACTGGTTGCTCAAATCGTATAACTGTAATTTACGTGTATTGTGTGTTTCAGATTGTATTATTTTTTATCAACATAAAATAAACTTTAAAAATCTATGCTATATATCGCGTCTTATTGCCAATTTATGTTATTATATAATTATAATTATTCTTATTACCAATTAGTAGCCATAATACATATTCATCTTGTCCAGCTTTATATAAACCCAACATCAATTTGATCCTTTTATTTCTAATATTTTGATTGCACGTTATACTGTGCTTTATTTTCTATTCCATAATAATTATAATTATATTACAATATAATAATTAATATATTGTATTCAAGAGGAAAATGCCTAGATCAAAATATAACTGCTGTCATCTAGGTAAAATCACACAACCATCACCAGATGAATACTATTTTCCGTACAACATTGGGGTCTAAAATCGTTATTTTGTATTAGGAGAACAGGAGCTCAAAATGCATGTAAATAAATGAAAAGTTGTATAATTAGTGCTAATTATAGCGGTGATAGGAGAGCTCCTGTAATCCTCCTATCCTAATACTAAAATAAAATAAAATATGAAAGTAAGTGAAAACATTTTCAAATAATAGAGAGAGATTTAAAACTGAATACAATAACCAATATAATGAATCAAATTAAGTTTAAAAACAACAGAAAAAGCCTTATTTAACGACGGGTCTTATAGTTGGTTAGGAAACTGATCGGACCGGGATCACGTTCAACCACCAGATTTTCCTCCTTGCTTGCCTCTTGACCCCAGGGCGATTCACGATTTGATTACAAGGCGATTACTTGTCATACACTGGACTTTGAGCTTAGCAATCTAATGCCTAACTCACTGAGAAATTAACTCCTTTATTACTACATCATATACATTATTACTCCCTAATCTTATTAATTATATTATTATTATTTGTTTATGTAGGTTTTTTATTAGTTTTTCAACTATCAAATAATCAAAGGAATGGTATTCACGTTTATGCTTCTAGTATTATCTTTAGTGTGAAACAACAAAAATGAACGATTAAGTTCATATTTTTAAATTGTAAAATGATATTTTAATAAACAATATTATTATTATTATCATTATTGCTTTGATGATTTTTTTTTTCAAAGCTTTAAACTGAACTGAAACGGAGACAGAAGAGAGGAATACTGTATCGCCAAAAATACCTTCCTAAAATAATTTCGAACATTTAAATTAAAATTAAGCCTTGTAACAAAAGCACTTTGGTACGTGACTAATAAACAAATATTGACTATATATTGACATCCACCTTCGAACAGTTAACCAAATATAGCTGCCGTTTACCATTGATTTTATTCAAAATTAAACGGACATAACACAAGAATAATAAGAGACATGGGCACTTGACTGACATATTCCTGAATATGGGAAACAAACTAAAAAGGCGCTGGATTTGAGATCTCGTTCTTTAAACAACCAAAATAATTAATTGAATCAAGCCATGAGAGAGGTGTTACAGGTTATTTTTTCACGATCCCTGACATGTCATTATTTCTTGAATTTTCAGCTCATTAGCTGATTTTCAACATTCTGCATACATTGACAGGAACAAATAAATACTATAAGATAAAAAACGTTTCAAAACTATTACGAACACATTATCATATGTTTACTGCCTACATTATTGCACAGCCATTATATTTTTGCAAAATAGTTTAATTGTGAGTTTATTGTTGTTAATAAATATAATTATGAAATGAAATTTGTACTAGAACATTTTCGTATTATTCTCTAATTTGTTTTCTAGCTTTATGTTATAAATATTTTTTCTGTTGTCAATAGCTAGTAGATCTTGTGCCTCTTTGATGAGTCTTCTACATCTCTGCCTAACTTGGGCCATTTCTTTTCAGTTATGGCATGCAACTCTATTCGATATTTGTTGATTATATCGACTATCTAGATTTTAGCCTTCCACGTGATATTTTGTCTTCTTTTAAGGCATTCATTTTTGTTTAGAGGCTTACAGATCGATTGCTCCAAGCTTCTTGTCCAGCCCATCTTAATCTGCTTACCTTCAAATCATGAGATATTGATCGGCAATTTCTATAAGCAACTGTTTATCGATCTTTTTCCTCCTGCCGACTTGCCCAGATTCATCGTATAGATAGCTTCCTGCAGTTCTTCCTCACTAATAAAATCATCTTCTTCCAAATACTCCGTCTCTGCATTGTTGATCTCATCCAGATCAACGGTCCTCCCTTCCAGCAGCTCCTTGAAGTACTCTCTTCATCTTTCCGTTATTTCTTCTTCCTGCCATAAAATCCTTCCTAGAACTTTTTCAGGTAAATATGAGTAATGTAAAAAAGTGAAAAATATTTTTGATTTCTTAGTGTGTACAACCTCAAATAAAAATACAACGTTAATTTCACAATAAATACAACCTCAAATATCATTTGAATATTGAGGAGTGGTTTTTAGATACAGTGTGACTCAGTTCTTAAAGCTAAAATCTGGAGAATGATTCTGGACAACATTTCCTATTAAAAAGTTTATTTACTGCATAGGCCAACTCCGAACAAGACCAATATTGTGTTTTTCTTAAAGTAATCGCGTTTTTACTGAATAAGAAGGAATTGCTCAAAAATTGTTCAAGATAAATTTTAAGTACACCATCGTAATGTAGACAAAATTCTATATGAGAAAACAGACTAAATTTACTATGATCAATGACAAAAAGGTCTTTTAGAAAGTCTAATAACGCAAGCCTACCATTATGTCGAATTATTTCTCGAATTGGGATCGCATCGAGAAAAACGTTGTATACAAAATTAAAGCTGATAAAATTTGAAATTTTATTGATTATATACCTTTTTTCACTACCTCGCTTAGTTTCCGAGATATCCATCGTCATCTATCGCTAATGAGGAAAAAAAATTAATTACCTCATGTATCTGACTAGCTAACTCTTAATTGCTTCTGTAGAGTTAATGCAGGTTATCAGGCAGCACTGTAGCTGTTATAGACAAGGCAGATTGTCTTGGGTGATGTTACCCACAGACAGCAGTAGTCCTTTGTTCCTAACAGTGTGATGTTTTTGTAGAAGAATATAAAAGTTTTTAATGTAGTTGTGATATAAAGTTTATCAATACAGCCTCATTTGTTTCCTGAAGCGATTTCCTAATATTTAAGCTACGTTATATGATTAAGTTGTATAATCTTATCGGAAGTAAGTTGTTTAGAATTGAAATTTTACCAAGTATATATTTATTTTACTAGTTTATATATAATGGTTCAAAAGTTATCCCTACATATATTATTACAGCAAGGCTCGAAATCGGTTTTGTACCAAATATAAGCTCCTGTCATGCTCAAATACCATGAATGGGGTACCGTTGGATTCAGAATTTCACGGGGGGTTAGCGAATCGTATTCTCCACTTTTGTTTTTCTTTCTAAAATAATTGAAGTAGATACAAACATTTTGCTAGGCTTCAATACTAGAACGGTGGTAGGTCTGTAGAACGATACGGGACAAATTGGACCTTGAAGATTTTGATGCGTACAGCTAAACTCAGATAGTTTCTCCGGAACTATCGGATTCTGCGTTTTTAAGCCCAAAAACGTACTATTTTCGAGATAACGCAAGGCATAGAGTTCGCATCCACACAGCCTTACGTTAATTGTAGTACTGTCATTGAATAAATGCTACATTTCGTCGACTTGAGGTCTCTATGATCGAGAGAGGAGGAGTTTATATTATTTATCGATGGTGTTTTTGATCGGCAAGCCATCATCGTTAATTCTTCACCAAATCTCAAGATTGAGCCACCAATTTCGAAGGCTTCCTTCTCCTTCAGGCGGGCAAAATAGTCCAATCACTCCGATAATTCAGGTAAACAAGTTATGAAAGAAAACAAACTTTATTTGCGAATAACTAAAAAAGTACACATTTTCCCCTGGGTTATGCCCAGGATTATATAAAAGATTACTAAATTTCCGAAAGGAAAAAAAAATCATCGAAATCGGACAATTTTTAGCAAAGATACAGCTTATTGAAATTTGTAAACATGTTGGTTCCAAACATTAATGAAGATTTAAATTAATTTTTGTTTTCTTTCTCGATTATATTTATCGATAAAGTAACAATTGATTTTTTTATCTTTTGATACGTTGCATTATTTTATTTTCCTATTAATTTGGCATATGAAAACAATATGCTGTGCGAACCATTCCAAAAATTTGCAGAAAAAAATGTATAATAATCGTTATTATTATATTGCTCTAACTCTCTATACATCTAAATTTCTGTATATATATACATATACATACATACAATAACATATATTATAAATACAATTTAAAAATTATTCACTTTTTTCTGTCTAGATCACTTCCAACTATAATCGTGCTGCTGGAATCCTAAAGAGGACTACTAGAAGGCTGCTCCTGACAGGCAGTATCCTTCAGCTGACGAGGACCGACCAGAAGCAGAAGAAGTGGAGTACATAACGACGGCCCACCTAGAGCGCCTTGGACAACACCCTCTCCTTCCCTAACGACCCTTTTTTCTATCTTCCTCCGCGCCTAGGACAATAATTAGAAAGATTTATCCTTTTCCTCGAAGGACCGTTTCTTTCGCCCCTTCGGTCTTTAGTTAACGAGGGCATACCTTACGGCTCCTAAGAGCTGTAGTCAGCCATATCCTTAATCACCACTTTTCGAGTAGTATCTCTTTCCGGTACTAGCATCGAAGAGTGAGGCCGATAGATGATCTAAGAGGAAAAAGTTCATTGTAAATAAGATTGAAAATAACTCATCCAACACAAATATTATATTTATGTTCTGCACAAAAATACTTCGTTAATTCCACAGATTTTGTTTCATTAATTAAAAATCTTTTTTTAGAATAAATTTATTTCCTCAATTTTATAAAGTTTCAGGATTTATTGTCATTACCAATTATACTAGACAAGCAATATTCATAAAAATCAATTTATTTAATTTTTTTTTGTTTATTAAATGAAATTTACAACTGTATACAAATACAACTAGTAAATATGCGCAAATTATAAATAATGGCATGTACAGGCTTGAAGAGATACTACCCAGTGGTAGCACTCTTTAAATAATTTTAAGTAAGAAGATCACGAGGCCATCTCCTTTTCAGACGCCTAGGAGGATTATCAGGGATCGAGGAAGAAGCAAGAGTGGAAACAAGCGGATTTGGATGGGACTGAAGTTTATCATGAAAGGATAGATATCTGGCTCGAGCTAAATCAGCGACATATGAGTACATTAAGGTCTTTATGAATGTTTTTATTTGTGACAAAGTATGGAGCATTAAGGATTTTACGGAGGATTTTGGATTGTAAGGATTGGATACGATAGGAATTCGATGGTTTGGTGGAGCCCCAAAGCTCAACTCCGTATGTCCATATAGGTCTTATTATAGTTATGTAGATAAGTCTTTTGTAATTAATTGGAAGTTTAGAGCGTTTGTCTAGTAAGTGTTGGAGCAGTCGGAAACGTCGAGCAGTTTCTTGTCGTTTCAGTCTAGTATGAGGATTCCAAGTAAGACGTTTATCAAAGTGGAGTCCTAAGTAGCGGATTTGCTCAACAGGAATAAGTGGAGTATTATTGAAGGATACTTTATTTAATTTTATTTTATTTTTATTCATTAAATTTGCAACTGTATGAAAAATAAATATTTAATTATTAGATGTTATAAATAGATATACAATGACATGAAAAGACTTGCAGAGAAAGTATCTATTGGCAAACCTCCAATAAAGTTTATTAATTAGGAGACAACGAGGCCATCTTCTTTTCAGAAGCCTCTGGGGAGGTTAACAGGGATCAAAGAGGAAGCATGATTATAAACGGGAGGGTTAGGATGGATCAGAGGTTTATTATGGAAGGATAGTAATCTCCATATTGGATCAAGTCAGGAACATATGGAACATTAAGGGAATTAAGAACAATTTTATTTGGGACATTGTGGAGGGCAATGAGGGTATTTGATTGTAAGGATTGGATACGAGAGGAACTTTATGGTATAGGGGAGTCCTAAAGCTCAACACTAATAATCTAAATAGGCCTTATTTTTGTCATATTTTGTCATACGAGTCTTTTGTAATTTGTCTAGTAAGTGTTGTGAATTTTAAAAATATGTCAATAGTAGGCAAGAGACGACGAGGATGGCCAAAAACCAAATGGATAAATAGAATCAACAAATATGCAATGGAGTTGCACGTAGAAAACCCTTTTTTTTATTATGATATTTACATCTGTATTAGTATAAATATATCAAGTAAATGTGTAAAGATGAATATAATCACACGAAAACGCTTGTTGAGAAACTATCCTGTGGTAGCACTAAATAATTCTAGGTAAGTAGATCACGAAGTCATCTCCTTTTCAGACGCCTACAAGGATTATCAGGAATCGAGGAAGAAGCAAGGGTGGAAACAAGGGGATTTGGATGGAACTGGAGTTAATTATGAAATGATTGATATCCTGCTCGGGCTAAATCAGCGACTAGTGTTGCCCAAAATTGGTCTTGGTGTTGCACTTTGCAAGACCAAGACCAACACCACCTATCTGTTGCAAGACCAAGACCAAGGCTGGTAAAAAAAATCGATTTTTTGAATAAAAATTGAGGCAAAATAGTTAATAATACTTGACAATTTGAGTTACTATATGTAAAGAATTGGTATAACCAATATACTTTTGCATTTAAATCTTCTAATTTTTCATTCAGACTTAGTTAGATTTCTCCTATTTAAAAAATTACAGTATCTCTCTAGTAATAAGCTAATATGTAACTGCAAGACTGTTACGAAAGTCTTGCGCAAGACCAAGACCTAGACAAAGACTGAGTTTGCAAGACCAAGACTCATCTCGGTCTCGCATTTGGTCAACACTATCAGCGACATATGGTGCATTAATAGAAATTTGATGGTTTGGTGGAATCCCAAAGCTCAACTTTGTATATCCATATAGGTGTTATTATTGTTATGTTGATAAGTCTTTTGTAATCAATTTGAAGTTTAGAGCGTTTGTCTAGTAAGTGTTGGAGCAGTCGGAAACGTCGAGCAGTTTCTTGTCGGTTAATTCTGGTATAAGGATTCCAAGTTAGACGTCTATCCAAGTGGGTTAAATAGACTATCGTAGTAATATTACATTATGTATACGAATAAATATGTTTCGTGATGTTTATTTCACGTCGAATGTATTAGTTAGAAGAATATCTATCTAATATGGGGATTCTCGTTGAGGTATTGTAGTACACGGTAGAGACCCCATTTTATCAAATTATTAACATCTGCCTAAAACTTCGTAAATGGATTCAATATATCGTTAACTACAAATTTTTTATCGACGAAAATTAGCAGAAATTGGGGCGTTTCCTTATCAAATTAATTAATGTTGAAAAAGGTGACCTACAAAAATTTTTGGTCGTTTGGTCTATATAACTTCGTTATTTTGACATGTTGGGAATGGAGGTCACACCAAAGAGCCCAATATTTTTATAGGCCACCTCTCTTCCCGGTGTTGTGATCAAATTATATTACGATTCAGGTGGAAAGGAAATTGATGTTTATGGGTTTTAGTACCTAATTCAACAGCCAAGTTTAGCAATCCCAGATTGAATACTTTCGTAATTAAAAAAATTGTAGGTTACGATAAGAAGAAGTTTTTTTAGGTGGATGTTAATAATTAGATAAAAATGAGTCTATACCATTGATCAGCCGCACTAGATTTTTTTTTTTTTTATGTGCGATATGAAGTTCAAGTATAAACAAAGAAGTACAATCGCAAAAAAAAAAGTAAGTTGACCTTGTACGAAGCGCTCTCTTGTTTTAGCCCTGAGAAAGATAAGAGACCGAGAATAACCCACAATGACCGAGACTCGGGACTTCGATTAGTCCCGGACTAGGCTTGAAGCTCTCCCGAGATAAGCCGAGAACGTGCAAATAGGAGACTGTCGAACCGAAGATAGTGGGAATGTGGAGATAGTAACGCTAGTCCCATCTCTGTCGGTGATAAGGGCGCTAATTGTCGACGGCAACACCTCGCTTCTTAACTCGAGACCTTTGAATCTACTTCACTTCTCGTTCCGAGCTGCAAATGTAATCTGTCGCGATCAGAGTATATATTTATTGTTACTTAATCGAAGTACTTAGTACGGTACTTTTCGTCTAGGGGGCCGCTACTGACTGCTATCTGCCAATGTTTATAACCTAACACTGATAACTCCCATAACGCAGTGATAAGCCTTCTTTTACTTCATATCTTCGTATTATTGTATTAAATGCGTATTATTGAAAGTGTAAACAGATACAAAAACAAATTTAATAACAAAAAAATACTTTTATTTAACGACACATATATTAGTGAAATAATAAAAAAAAAACACTTTAAGAAGATACGTGCATATAAAACATCAAAATGAAATAATAAAAAAACACATTTAAAAGAACATATTTACATAGAAAAGAAAAAAACATAAAACAAAATCTGTTTTATAAAAAGATAAAACATTCATCTGTTTCTTGGCAAACTCCACCAAACATCCACTGCTGAGATAAAACTCTCCCCATATGACTTTTTCATTTAGAAAAAAAGACTCCACTTTGCCAGGTCCTCCGAATTTTTTTCTTGGCCTGTATAACATTTCATAGGCACAATCAATTTTAAAGCTGTTAAAAACGAAATCCTCGAGCCCTCCAACCATGTTCCTTTCCTTATTGAAAGTTTTGTGTCATAAGTCCTACGAAAGCATCTCCATCCTGGTTGATTTCATTCGATGACCTCGATCACACAATTTCACGTCGGCAAGTACCCCAACATTTTAAAAATTTTGAAGTGCCTGTTCTGAAGGCGGCAAATTCCATATTCTAAGAAGATCCATAATATGACGAAAAGAAACAAAAAGGGGCCACAAACTAAAAAAAAATGTAAAATAAACACAAACGTGCCCAAAACTAAAAATAATGAAAAATAAACACAAACGGGCCAAAAGTAAAGAATTTAATAAGTGAAAGGTTTGGCGGGATAAGAAGAGGGAGGTTATGTGATGTGACGTTAGATAAGATAGATAAGAAGTGAGGTTTCAGTCCGGCATGCTAGACAAAAAGTACCCTTTGTACTAGCAGATGTACCCTTCGTTGACTGGTGTATAGTTAAAATTTGAGAATCTTTTTTGAGATAGATTTCATGGGGGGAGGAGGGTCAAAATTCAACTTCATAAAATATGGTCGGGAGGGAAGAGGTGGTTTTTCATGGCGGGACTTATGAAAGCCAAGGTTTCCCAATATTCATAACAAGAACTTTGTTATTCGGCTATTTGTTTAGGTATCACAAAACTAAACCGACCACCACCGAGATCCATTAAAATTTGTTAAGTGTTTAATTTACATTTGTGATGAAGCGAGGATATTGTGGAGTCGATTAATTAATCAAAAAGAGTCACAGTCTCTTCACTTCTTTAAACTGTGCTGAGTTTTTCGATTGCAAAATAAACAAAATAACATCGGACATTGAGTCATCTACATCCGCGTAAGATTAGAACTTGATCAAAAATTTTAATTAAAAAATCAAAACATTTTGGATTTTTTCCCTCTTGATTTCTGGCTAATTCGTTTGGTCTATCCTAAAAATGGTTACGACAACATTTGTTAGGCTCGGAACGTTGAATTGAATGACACCTTAAACAGGAAGATCGGGCAAATTTGAAAAATGAGTGTGTTTTACCCGTTTTATGTGACAACGCGTTACAGATGTTTGGTATTCCGGATTTTTTCCCGTTAAGTTGTAATAATTTTTTTCCATCAGTTAAGTAGTAAAACTTTTAAATGTGGCTCGCGGTAGAGTAGGTTGGGATGAGAATCGAAGGAAGTAACTGCCTAACCGAGATCTCTAGACAAATTACTCAAGAATTCATAACTTTGGTTCTAATCAATATTTTGTTTTCATATAAAGCCTATATTTTAAGTCGAGCAAACTTAAATGCAATTTCAAAAGTCTACTATTAGCCATTGTCGAGTTTACACCTGGCACAATTTTGTTGAACAATGCCGACAGCCAGACAGACAAATTTTTTTTTAAAAGTGGATTTGGTGCCTGCTATGCATGAAACGAAAAGATATCATAAAACGGGTTGATTCTATTGAATGTACAGACAAAATCTTTATTTTATTTATATAGAATAATTTATATAATAAATTTGATTTCAATAATGAGGTATATATAAATAGATAGATAGTTTATTTTATTTGTCTAAGGAAATTCCTGTACAAATAAATATAATGGTATAATTAACAATGTTAGATCTTGAGTCTAGTACTACATTCAAACATAACATTAACAATGTCAACAGCATTAAGTATGACTAATATAATATAATATAATAACAGATTAGTAAACGATATATATGTATATATATATACATAACAATTAGTAAAACATTTTTTTTAATTTTTTTTAATTTTATTTATTATTATTTTTTTTTTTTTTAAATATTCGAGAGGTATAAGACAAATGACAATATAAATAAGCATTAATATATGTTATATGATTAACTTTACCACTTAACAGTTCAATGAACAGCCCTGTATGAAATAATACAGTTGGTTTATTTTTTTCGTAGTGTCTATTTTCAGTATCTCCTCCACACTAGCATCTTCTCTGGATTCAGTGATAAATGCCTTCAAGTACTTATTTCTCGGCTCGTTGAACTTGATACATTGGATCAGAAAATGAGTTACCGGGTCAGTTACAAGGCAGTTGCATGCACCACATACCTCACTGGATTTAATAGTCAAAGTAGCATCTTTTAAGTATATTTTCATAAAATCTTTACTTGCTACTCTGAGACGACTAACGGCTCTTAATTTGTTTAAATTCAGAGCCCTGAACTGAAGATAATCCTCTGGTCTGGTAACATTAAAGGAGCAGATTTTTCTATATCTTGGGTTTGATTTAGAGTTTAACACTCTGTCGATGTCCTTGGATGAGTGATGGTTTCTTATCTTTTCCATGATTTCATCTTTGAAATTCATCAGACCTTGAGAGAAAACACAAGAAAACATCCCCTGACATCCCAGTTCCGCCACAATTATCTTTACTTGGGTAACCCAGTTATAAGTTGGACCAGGTTTTCCAATGGATGAGTCTAGAGCTCTTAGCCTATTAAAGCATTGTCTAGGTAGTCTTTCGTCACTCATTAAGCTTAGCTTTGTCCAATAGTTGATCACTTTTTTCAACACTTCAACACTTAATGGAGATCTCCCACTTTCAAGGCGAGCCACATAGTTCGGTGTATTTCTTGGCCAATGGAGCAATGACTTGATAAATCGAACTTGCGTCCTCTCCAAAACCTCCAGGTATCTGCAGCATAGAGCAGTGTTGACGAGACCATCGAGTCAAAGCGGCTGGTTTATGTCTCCCAAGAGTCGCTTTTTCCATTTCTTAGGATTGCCATCACTTTGGTCGCTGCAACAGACGATCTATGTAAGAAATGCTCCGCGGCTCTCTCGAATTTTCCAGAAGAAGAAAAGGGTACACCCAGATATGTATAGTTTCTGGTATACTCCAAACTTGTGTAATGAGATATATATACATAACTGTAATATTCCGAAAAGTAAATCTAAAAAGATAGTAAATAATTTAGCGATTTACCTTATAAATGGAAAAATCTAAACAACAAAGCCATGAGTCTCCAAACATACAGTTGAGTAGTTGACTTGCCAACGCTTCGCCAATTCAGGCATCATCAGAGCAGAAAAACAAAGATCATTTATATGCAGAAAGAAAAAAAAAAAAAGGAAAAGAAGAAAATATATATATTGTTGCTGTAGACATCTCATGAAGGCATCCAAATACATACTAAATAAAATAGAATGTGCTATTAACACAGCTAAGGAAGATTATATTGAACAGTTGATTAGCTGGAATACAAGAAAGAAATGAAAAAATAATGTTTACATAACTAAAATAAAATAATACGAAACGTATTAAATAAAATAGAATAACAAATCAAGAAATAAAAAAAAAATCTCGAAGGTAAATATAACATCCATTTCCAGGTAATTTTAAAATTACCTCATGTCTCTTTTCTTGCTTTATGCTTATTTTGTAATATTTGTGATCTACATTATTCCAATTGAGGCATCATAAGAAGAAAAGAAAATTACAAATTTAAAAAACAAAACAGTACAGCATTATTAATACTAATAGGATTTGTATTGGGATCTCAGTCAGCTGGTGTTCCTCAAGGTGATATCCTCAGTCCCATCCTCTGTACAGCTAACATTCCAACTCATCCTAACACCATTATTTCCACTTATGCTGACGATGCATGCGTGTTATTAGTTAATAATGACCCATTTATTGCTTCTACTTCAGTCTCATATTACATGATGAATGACGTCGTAAACCTATGACTTCCTGTCCTACAGTATCCTTCTAAGTACCTCACTTATTCCTGTTGAACAGATCCGCTACCTAGGAATCCTTCTAAATAAACGTCTTACTTGGAATCATCATACAAGATTAAATGACAAGAAACCACTAGACGTTTCCGGATGCTTCAAAACTTATTAAACAAGTACTCTAAATTTCTATTAGAATATAAACAACTCAATTACTTGACTGTAATAAAGCCTATTTGGATTTATACTAAATCATCAAATTCCTCTTATATCAATTCTTACAATCCAAAATCCTTAGTACTCCTGGTTATGTCATCCAACTAATATGGCAAACCTCTAAACCATCAGAGAAGAAGAAGGCCTCGGGACCTTCTAATATAAAACTATAATTAGAGTACAACAAAAGTTTTTATGTTGTACATGTCATAGTACCAATTTCAATTTACTTGTATTCTGATCTATTACAGATGTGAATTTCAATAAATATATATATTTTTTTAAAGGAGTATCAGATAATTTGAGCAATACTGAGTATCGCACAAATAATTTAGTTTTGGCTTCTGAAACACCTTACATCATTATATCTTAACTATTAAATGACATATTTAAACAATCAAATGTAGCTTTTATATTTAAGCGTTGGTTTTAATCTTTAAGAGAATGTTCTTCCTGATCATTACTCCTTTTTTTATTCTAGTCCTCCCTTTCCTGACTTTTTAGGCTGTACGGAGGTTTTCCCTGATAGTAAGGGCGGGGGATTAATACTAGTCCCTGAGTCATTTGAACCATTTAACTCACAATTCGGTCAAGTAGTTCGCTACTGATTCGCTCAATAAGTTGTTAAATACCTTTTAGCGATTTGATTAAACGAATTTTATTGGAAAACGTGTCAATTGTTTTAGCTCAATTGTTCCTAAACATTCACCGAATAATGTGATTTGCCAAACTTAAAAAATGATCAAGTCGTTTCTTTATAAAATCGTTAGATAACTATTTAAAAATTGATTAAACACAGTCATAACATATCTACAGATAAGTATTAACATTTTTCTGTATAAATACAACACTTATCATTAGGTTCTCAGGCCGTACCAGGATGTTACTCCCACAGAAAGTATTTTTATATTTTAACGAACATGATAAAGTCTAAACCATTTTACATGATACAGACTTCTCTTAGACAAAAGGAGATCCCGTTTCTTCTTATATTTTAATGTCCTACCTACCGTTTCCTTTATTCTCGTATAATTCCCAAAAGACGGACTCGGGCCAAAAGCCACGCCTGGCGATCCTATCGCCGTATTAGCATAGTCTTTAATATTTATGACCGGGGGCAGGGGAATAATAAAAGAATAATATAAATATTCCAATTACTCAGCAAGGAAGAGTCTGCTTCTCTCTGCGTAGGCAGGACCCCGAGACAGGAGAACACAGAAGGAATTTTAATTCTGCCAACCGGGCCATCAAAGGATACCGCGTCTTCGTCTCTTTTCCAAATTATAGTCTTCTGCAGATTTATCAAGGATTCACTTTGATATTAATCTTGTCAGGATCGACAGAGCAGGGACAAATTGTCGGTTTGTTTGATTTAGACGTCTCCTTAAACGAGTTTGGCAGCTTGATTCATCCCGCAGCTACTTTTTCTCGATGTGGAATGAGTATTATGTCAGATGATTCAACACACATAGGCAAAAAACTAAGACAATATCTTAGTTTATCAACTTAATATTTTATAAGGAAGAGCCATTAAGAGATGCGTGTTTTTTGTGTGTTTTTTTTTTGTGAATTTATAATTACTAGTGTTCGAAATTAAACCACAATCATTATCGAAAATTTGAGAAAAACATAAATTATTTTGATTAAATATTTAATAATTGACCGTTGCATTAATAAAGGGAGGAGATAGTCCGAGGTGGCTGTCATAATTATTTAATTATTATAAGGGTGGCGGATATTATGCCATATTCTATCCTATACATTATATATTACACTACAACAATGGTTAAAATCTATTTACTTCAGTTTAGGATCATGTTACTTAGCTTACTCTGATTATATTTTAATATACTTACTGTTTATAATTTTAATAAGCTTATTCACATTGTATATGTTTTGGTCTAAATATTATGTGACTTCCACAATTCTCTATATCGTTTTGTATCTTGTACGTTTTAACCCTGAAGAAGACCTGCAAAGTCGGGTCGAAACGTTGGCTTTTAATAAAATAGTTTTGCCACTAATTAGACTATTTATGACCACCACCCTGGACCATCTCCTTCCTTTATAAATTATTTTGCACGTTGCCAACAAATTTTTTCTGATCTTATATATTTAGGGGGCAAGGAAAAGGGATAGGTGATGTAAGAATTCCTCCAATGTTACCGCGTGGGCAGGATGGGATTCCAGATGTGAAATAAATGTATTGGAATGGAGGTATTGGCATTGGGATCTCCTACAGTCTTGCCTTTCCCTCTAGTCTTGAAAAGAGTTTGTTAGGCTTGGTTCGGGGTTTCCCTGAGACGATGAATTTGTATGTATTATATAAATGGATTGTGAGTATTTAAGTTGTTATTTCGGTTGTTTATTTTTTTGTTTTTCCCAATTATTTTGTAATTAAACAAATCCGTTACCTTAGATTACACCTGGACAAACGACTCGCTTGGAATCCTAATACAAGACTGAAACGACAAGAAACCGCTCGATATTTACGACTACTCCAGCACTTACTAGACAAACGCTCTAAGCTTTCACCAATTACAAAAGACTCTTATGTAACTATAATTAGATCTACTTGAACTTACGGAATTGAGCTGACCGGCTCAACTAAAAGAAAGAATTCCACTCCTTACAATCCAAAATCCTTCGTAAAATCCTCAATGCTCCTTACTATATCAATAATAAAATCATCCATAACGACATTAATTTTCTATATGTTTCCGATTTGGCCCAATCCAGATATCTATTCTTCCATAACAAACTTTTATTTCAAACCTTGCTTCCTTCCCGATTCCTGATAACACTCCGTGGCGTCTGAAAAGAAGGTGGCTTCCTTGATCTTCTTGGGTAAATTTACTATTTTTAGTGTTACCAGTTTGTCAACAAGCGTTTTCATGTTATTATATTCTTGAGTGCACATTTAGTAGATTTTTTTTTATATATGCAGTTGTAAATGTACTTTGACTACTGCTGTGTGGTGTATGATGGACTCTCGGTGGAGCTCCGCGATAGATTGAAAAGATTAATGAACAGTTGCGTGAGATTTGTAATTGGTGTCCCGAGATACTACCATGTCTCTCACCACTACACTGAGTTAGAGTGGCTCTTCCCCTCCATTCGAAGACAGTATTTCCTAGGTACATTCCTCTATCATATCATCAACAATCATCGTCCTTCCTACGCCTACAACCTTCTCCAATTCAAGTCCTCAGTCCACTCCCTCTCCACAAGATCTCGACCTTCCGACCTTTACATTCCTTCTCACAGATCTGCCTCGTTCCAAAACTCCTTTATTGCTCGCTCTGTTAATTTTTGGAATTCCCTTCCTATCAAAATCCGACATTCTTTATCCCTATCCACATTCAAAACCCTCCTATTCCAATTCGTATCCC